ATTTTAAAAAAAAACAGTTCTGGGAATCTCCTAGGAATAACAGCAGATGATTGCTCTAGTCCCAAAAGAATATCAAAAACAGCTGCTTTGGTGTGTTGTAGGTCTGGGAGGGTCGCTGGAGAGTTATCCCTTATGATGTGCTGCCTGACTGGCTGAAAGATAACGATTACCTGTTGCATGGGCATCGGCCCCCCATGCCATCTTTCAGAGCCTGCTTCAAGAGCATCTTCCGCATACACACTGAGACAGGCAACATCTGGACGCACTTATTAGGTAATTTCTACATTGATGTAAGAAGTTGTTTTATTTTACGAACTGTCTTTCCCCTTTCCTCGGGAGAAACAAGGCTATAATGTTAGGAGGTGGGTGTAATGGTTAAAAGCCCACCCCACCCCAGAAAATTTGTTGGGCAGGCTTCACTCTAAACTGGAGCCTCCTGTATTTGTGGCTGGTAAATGATTTCTACTACATTAGAATGGCTTGGAAACTTGGGGTGTATGTATGGTGGTGCTTTTTCTTTTCTGTTTGGTCCTGGAGATAGTCCTGCATAGAGATGTGAAGGCCCGGGAAAAAAACAGAAAAATTTGGGGGGAAAACGGTTTTTTCCGTTTTTTTCCTGAAGCCTTTTTGTTTTTTTCCGAAAAATTGGAAAAATTGAAAAAAGAAAAAAAAATTGATTATGGAACGTTTTATTTTAACATGATGAATAAAATGTTTTAAGACAAGGTGTTCAAATATTTTCCAAATCATTTCTAAAATATATATATATGGTATCAGATTGATCTAATTTCTGTGCACTGAGGACAAGCAAGTCCTAGGTTACAAACTGAACCCTCCAATGCAACAACAAGATGCATTTCTTCCTTTAGGAGGTGCAATTGTCAGAAGAAAATTAAAAAGTTTCAGTTTTGTTTTTTCATGTGGGAGGGTATTCTGTTTGTAATAATTGTTTGGATACACTATATTTTTAATATGCTAGTTGTGATAATTTCCTGCCAAGTAAAAATGTCCATAGTCATATTTTATGTTCCTAAAGTAACAGAATGACTTTCAATCTAGAAAAGACAAAAGAAATGCTAATGTAGCATTTTTTCAATTTTTCCGAAAATTTCCGTCTTTTTCCGGAAAAAAACACGGGTTTTTTTCTGAGTTTCAAAATTTCCGGAAATTTTACATCTCTAGTCCTGCGTCTCCTGACCTGGATGGCCCAGGCTACCCAATCTCAGAGGCTAAGCAGGGTCAGCCCTAGGTTGGTACTTCGATGGTAAAACCAACCAAGGAAGTCCAGGGTTGCTACTCAGAGGCAGGCAGAGGCAGGCATTCTGGTTTCAGTGAACTGGATGCGAAGGACATTTGTCTGCGGGTTTTTGAAAGTCCTGATCTGAAGGCATTTCAGTATTCTACTATAGACATCACTTTGCCTTTACCTGTTGTTGGAACACCGCTTAACGTTCTGTGTCCTATACTTTGCACATTCTGTTTGTTCCTGTGACTCAGTGAGCACTGTTATCCTTTCTCCTCTTTTCTATTCTCGCTACTCATAACGTAAAAACAAAGAGCTTGCTACTTTTTAAAAGTTTTTTTTTTAATCATACATTTTAAACATTGAGGTACTAGGGCCTGTTGGGTTTCGTAGGGGGTTGTGTGGCCGATCCCTAAGGGGCTTGAGCTGCAGTTTTACTGTCACTATGTATATGGTCATCTCAGCGCAAAGGGCCTGTGGTGTAACTGGCTGGTGGTGGTGGGAAGTGCTGTCAAGTTGCAACCCCTTAGAGTTTTCAAGGCAAGACATGTTCAGAGGTGGGTGGGGCTGAGAGAGGTAGGTGGGGCTGAGAGAGCTCTGACAGAAACTGCTCTTTTTCAAGGACAGCTCTTATCAGAGCTACGGCTTGCCCAAGGTCATCCAGCCAGGTGCAAGTGGAGGAGTGGGGAATCAAACCCAGTTCTCCCAGATTAGAGTCCGCGCACTCAACCACTACACCAAACTGAATGCAATTATCTACACCTCTGCTTCCTGTAACAATCAGATTCTAGCAGGTAGACTGAAAACTCTGTCAAGTTTTTTCTCAGGGAACTATCATCCATTTAGTAGATCTTGCTTGTTCTTATAGAACAAACCTTGACAAGGATCAGAGCCACAGGAAGGTAATCACTCTAAGACCTGTGGTCTTCTTTCATTTAATCTAAAATAAAATCAGTGGGTCAGATTTAGCTTCTCTGGTAATTACTGGGGAAGGAATTGAGTCAAGCTTGAAGGATTACTTGCCATTCTTTTGTGTGCAAAGCACTTGAGGCTGGATCCCCGGGAGTAATGGCTTCTACTGTAACACAGCCTACTAGGGAACAGGAAGTCCTGTCTCAACGTTTTTTTAATTGAAAGGTCACAGTTCAGCATTTAGCTTAAAAAAATGTTAAATTAACTTTAAGTAATTTTACAACAACAATATTATAACAACAATGGCAACAGTAGGAGGCTGGAGTACGCCGGCGCGGCGCAGCGACGGGCGGAGGGCGGCTTCTCTCCGTGCCGCCCGACCCCTTTACGGAACCTTCTGAGGCTCCCGATCGCCGGGAGACCTTGGCCAGCCCTCTCGGAGTGAGGGCTGGAGTAAGGGGCATCTTTTTTTGGGGGGGCCCCGCCTTCGGCAAAGCGGGGGGGTGCCCAGAAACAGCCCCAACACAAGTCCGTTTGTTCGGGGAAGAACATGGCCGCCGCCATGTTCCGACCAGCTGCAGCCTTCCGGCTTTTTTAATTAAATGAAAGTTACGACGAGGAAACATATTGTCACGGCAAAACAGAAGACAACTGAAAGTAAGAGTAATTTTTGGTGGAGCGCTGAGAAAATCCCCAAAGAGGAAACGTCTACGAGTCAAAGTGGAAACAGCCGGGAGAAGTAAGAGACATAATTATGTACTGGCACTAGAGCTGGGGAAAAAAGAAAGGGAAACTGCTGTTGAGTTTGTTGTTAGACGGACTTTTTTTTTCTTGGTTGGCAAAGACGCTAAAATAAAAGGAAACAAGGAAAAAAGAGACTGGGCTGGTGGACAGATGTATGGAATCAGGGCCGGCTCACTCACTAGGCGAATTAGGCGGTCGCCTAGAGCAGGACGGCCCTTAGGGGCACCAAACTGAACCCAGCCCCATACTCTGGGAGTTTCTTGATTATTTGTGTTTTTCATTCTTCCTAAAATGCATTTATTTTTGGAAATTGGTGGGCGCACTGGGGGGGGGGCGCCAGAAGGGATCCTCGCCTAGGGGGCAAAATAAGCTGGGGCCGGCCCTCTATGGAATACAGGGAAATATCCCCCCCCCCTTTCTTCAAGCTGAAAGTCTGAGTAGGAAGTTATGGAGGAATTGATGGGTATGGAGGAAGAGACGGGAACGGAGCAGGAGGTTGATGAAAATCTTGAAGTGGGCGAGCTAACTTTGGAACAGCTTTTGAGAATTTTGAGGAGGACGATTCAAACAGAATGTAAAAAAGCATGTGGAAAAATAGCGGAAAAACTGGATAACGTTCAGAGAAGCTTTGGAGAGACTGAGGATCCAGAGCGGCCCAAACTGAGGGAAACAACAGAGGTGCAGCAAGAAGAGAACTGTATTGACATTAAGGAAAATGAAACGGAGTTTAAACAGGAGAAGGAATATCGGTTAAGGGAAAGAAAGGGAAAGGACTTAAAAGGAAAAGAACTGAGATGTGTTAAAGTAAGACTATTTGACTGTAAAAAGAGATGGAAAAAGAAAGAAAGAGTAGGAGAAAGGAGGATCAGGAGAAGGGAAAAAAGGGCTTGGAAGTTTAAAGAGAACAGCAAGAGAAGGAAGTGGGAATTGTTGAATAACAGCATGGTGAAATTGGGAAAGCTAAGAAGACATAAAGATCAAAGGCATGTAGATGGACTGAAGCAGAAAAGGAGAATGTTGATGTGTAGGAGAAAAATTAAGATATTTAGAAAGATGAATGTATGGTTTACACTTAAGATAGGATTAGATGGAATAATGACTTGATGTTTAACCTTTTCTCTCCTCTTTTTAACTTGGCATAATGTATAATATCATGTTCTTGTTCTAGTCGTGAGCTAATTAGAATAATATAATGGAAGGGTTGACCAAGATAATGAATTGATGAGTTCGTGGAAATTAATATCGAAGGGGGAAATAAATTGGTAATGTGAACTATAGAAAGTTATACAGGATGATGAAATGAGTGATTGATATGGGAGTAAAGGGAACAATGAATTAATTATATTCAAGTAGATATAGGAAAATTCCTTTTTTGTAGTTGTCGTTTTATTGGTGTCTGTTGTTACTTTAGGTTTTGGGATCAGTAGGGAATCATGTTGGAAATTTAATATGGAAGCGGGAGTCATTAGGTATTTAATATAAACAAAAAATAAAAAAATAGTATTAGATGAGTTAGGAATTGGGAAGTTTGAAGATGTTAAGACTAAAGGCTAAGTAACATATAAAAAGGTTTGTGAATGGTATTTATTTAACTCTTTATAGGAATGTATTGGTGTATGGGGCTATTCAGAAGTTTAGTAGTGAAAAGGATGTGATTGATTTAGATTAGATAGGATGTTAATTGGAGGGCTGATGTATTAGTAATTAGAGGGTCAAATAAAGATGGCTTATTATGGAAAGGTATAACTATGTCATAGAAGAGAAAGGATATTGATTGTAAACCCTTTTTTTCATACTAAAAATGAGTGAATGAAGGTTATTAATATCTTAATATTGCCAATATGATGGTATAGGTTATGTGAAACAGCAGTCCATTCCGGAGAAAAATTTTAAAAAAACTTTCTTGTATTCAACTTAGATTGCGTAGTAAAGTGAACAGAGTAACAGGATAAAGTTGTCTATTTTGGTACTGTGGTTGTTATTTCTGGGTTGTTGGAAAGGGAATAGGAAATGGGCCCTGCCAAAAGTAAGTCACGCTCCGGCGGACTTGACTCCGCGGTCGTGGCTCAAGGGGGCTCCAAAGCCCAGTCCCCTTAAGGACTCTCGCTTCTCCCCCCTCCGGCCAAATGCACCAGGAAATGAAGCAAGAATTCTGAAGGAGAACGGCTGGACACCAAAGAGAGTCAGTTAAGATCTTTATTATGCGCGCAGGCGACAGCCAGAGGAACGAACAGGAGGTCCTCCAAAACGGGCTGCGCGCGGAGGGGTGGGGGGCATTGGGTTAAATACTTTTCTTTGCAAGGCTACAGAAAGCAAAAACAGGAAATACATGTCTAGCTGATAAAGAAAAAAAAAACACCATGAACTTTGCAAC